CGCACATTACTGAATTGTAGTGCTTCTCTGGTTGCCCATTCATTCATTGTGTCAATGTTGCTTTCGTACTACCTTACCTGGCTGATGATAGTTGTGCCATATTGTGTTAATTTGGTGTAGGCTACTTGCCCAAACGTTCGTTGTGTCAATGTTGCTTTCCTATTATCTGACTTGGCCAATGATAGTAATGCTAGTGTGTTAATTTTGTGCAGGCTGCTGAAGATAAGAAGACAAACTCTGAAAACAGCAAGGCAACCCAATTGTTTCTTTCCAGTAAATCTAGGCCAGGTAATATAGCAATAACTCATGATTAATCTGTTTGGTTCCCGTCCTAATTTATGTTATGATGCAGTGGTCGAGACACTCTCCACTATCAATAATACAAGCCTGCCAAAATCGCCATCTGAATCTGTTCAGTATCCTCTGTCTCGAATGCAACGGAATAAATATATGTTTGTGAACCAATTAATGGCTGAAGCAATGATGGAAATGGTGGATGAATCAGAGGTGCAGAGTCGTGCGACACAACAACCAATCAATGTTTTCAGAGACAGTGTAGCAAAGCAGAAAGAACTTGCCCACATGCTTATGGGCGTCATCTGTGCTGAGGTTGCAGATTGTGACGCTGTAGATGGTTAGGTTCTGCTCATTTATTTGCACTGGCATCAATCTTTGATTGCCCAATGGATGTAATTTCCTGTAATATATGCTGGATGTGCAACGTTATTCCTGTATGCTGTACCTTTGCGTGATCAATTTTGGTCCTGTGCATAATTGCTCGTCGTAACGGGCTCAAATTATCTAATTTGGCCTAAAGACATGTACGAACTTTAGTGGACCCATTAAGTTAATGGGCCGTTACTAGGCCGAAAGTTAATGGTCGGCCCTCTTACCTCCCGGGTCGTTAACAGGCCGACATCGAAGCGGGCAACAGGTGGCCCCAGTTTATTTCACGGGACGTTAACAGGCCGTTACTAAGTTTGGGCTACATATGGCCCAACTATATTGTAGGCCTTTAGCAGGCCAAAAGAGACAGCGGGCTTGTACTGGACCATGAAGACCATGGGCCGCTAAGAGGCCGAAAGTCAGGTCGTATTGTAAATGGCCCAACTGTGTTGTGGGCCTTTAGCAGGCCGAAAGAGAAACCGGGCTGGTATTGGACCATGAAGGGCATGGGCCATTAAAGGGCCAAAACTAAGATCCGACTACAAGTGGCCCAACTCATTTATGGTCCATTAACATGCCGAAAGTCACTCAGGGCCGGGAATTGGCCCAACACTTAAATGGGTCGCTAAAAGGCCAAAACTCAGGTCCGACTAAAAATGGCCCAACTGATTTATGGGCCGTCAACAGGCTGAAAGTGACACCGGGCCAGAAAATTGGCCCAACACTTAAATGGGCTGCTAAAAGGCCGAAACTCAGGTCCGACAACAAATGGCCCATCAGATTTATGGGCCGTCAACAGGCTGAAAGACAAACCGGTCCGGAAACTAGCCCAACATTTAAATGGGTCGCTAAAAGGCCGAAAGATGTACATCCTGAAAATTGGCCCATCCATTAAACGGGCCGTTAACAGGCCGAAATCTCATCGGGCCGATATTGAGCCCATATATATAGCGGGATGTTAACATGCTCAAACTGACAATGGGCTACAATGGTGTCAAATCTTTAACGGGCCGTTGACGGGCTGAATTGGCTCATCTTGTATGGGTCGTGGGCTTAAATGGACCTGACACAAGTAGGCCTTATATGGGCTGGCCTGCTAATTTTTACTAGGCCGACCTTTTCACAGGAATGGGCCTCCGTTGGGCCATGCCACATGTCGATGTACCATAGGTGTCTTCGGTCCAATGAGTGGATGACATCTGTCCCAACGGTGAGCCGACACGTGTTTCCTCCAGCCAATGATGATTTTACACATGGAAAATCCCCATTGGTCGGGGCTGTTAACAGGTTATCGGATCCAAAACCCGACCCGATAGCTTAACAGCGTTCCGTTACGGTGGATGTCATGTGTCGGTCACCCTTGACGAAAGCACTTCTATGACGCGCGATTTATCGTCATGGAAGTGGACACTTCCGTGATGGTAATTTTGGCAATGTCATGGAACACTTCTACAACAGCACATGTATGACTATCTTGATTCTGTCATAAATTTGTCATGGATGTACATGCATGACAAAAAACGCGACCTACTGTGACAAACACGTATCATCACGGAAGTGTATTTTTTTTGCAGTGGGTGAAGGGTCAGAGATGCGCAATATCTTCGGCAGGAATTGCATCTTGGATGATGAAGAGAGCGGACTCGTTGAATTGATTATCCGCGGCTTCTCTCGGGGTAAAGTTGCTTGGATCATGCAGGTAGAAACCTTGCTCAATGATTCTCCAAATATTAGTATTAACATGATTTAAATGACAAATATTAGTATAAAATATGAGTGGAGGGAACCGGTCCTCCATAAGTAAGAGGTGGTTCAACATTGGCAAAGATGCCACTTCCATTTTCTACCACTAGGCATAGGAGCATGCTCACTACTAGCTTCCCCCTTCTTGGACTTAGCATCCGTCACCTTGTTGGTGGGATCAACCACCTCCAAGGGTTCGGTGGACACTTTAAGACCATCAAGGAAATTGCTTAAACATGCCTTTAACCTCGGCCTTCAAGGAGGTTTTCAATGTGTCCAACGCCACATTGAACTCCTCACGAGAGACCGAGGATCCCCCATCGGCCGTAGACGAGGATGGATTCACATCGGGGTGTTCCTCCACACCGTTCATGGTGTCAACCATACTCTTCGGACAGTAAAGTCCTCAATAAAGAAACGAGGCTCTGATACCAATTGAAAGGATCAATATAGTTGACTAGAGGGGGGGGTGAATAGGCAACTAACAATTTTTAGCTTTTCGTTACCAAATTAAACTTTGCATCAAAGTTGGTTGTCTAGATGTGCAACTAGGTGAGCAACCTATATGACGCAACAACAACAAACAAGCAAGCAAGCTAGGGAATCAACGCATAAGAAGCTTGCACAAGTAAAGGCGAGAAGTAACCATAGCGGAGCCGGTGGAGACGAGGATGTGTTACTGAAGTTCCTTCCTTTTGAGGGGAAGTACGTCTCCGTTGGAGCGGTGTGGAGGCTTGGATCGGTGTGGAGGCACAATGCTCCCCAAGAAGCCACTAGGGCCACCGTATTCTCCTCACGCCCTCACACAATGCGAGATGTCGTAATTCCACTATTGGTGCCCTTGAAGGCGGCGACTGAACCTTTACAAACAAGGTTGGGGCTCTCTCCACAACCAAATTGGAGGCTTCCAACGGAACCACGGAGCTTCACCACAATGGAATGTTGCTCCGAGGTGCTCAACCGTCTAGGGTGCTCAAACACCCAAGAGTAACAAGATCCGCAAGAGATTAGTGGGGGGAATCAAATTTCTCTTGGTGGAAGTGTAGATCTGGGCCTTCTCAAGCACTCCCTAGAAAATCAACAAGTTTGATTGGCTAGGGAGAGAGATCGGGCGAAAATGAAGCTTAGAGCATCAATGGAGCTTGGGAAAAGAAGAGGTAGTCAACTCGGAGAAGAAGACTCCCCTTATATAGTGAGGGACAAATCCAACCGTTATCCACTTAACCAGCCTGCGATCTGCGGTACTACCGCACCAGACAAGCGGTACTACCGCAAGGAGGTGCGGTACTACCGCTAGGAGGTGCGGTACTACCGCACCCATGGCAGAGACCAGAAGAAGCCCCTTTGTGTTGTCACAGCGAGCGGTAGAACCGTCAGAGTGGTACTATCGCGCACCCTTGCGGTACTACCGCAAGGCAGGGTTCGTCTAGGCTGGGAAGACACGGATGAATAAAAATACATCCGTAGCCACTTCCGCTGATTTTCGATCTGTGCAAAAATCCGGCACGGTACTACCGCATACAGGGATCGGTACTACCGCGTAGGGCATGGATGTAGAAACTTACATCTACCCCTACTTCTGCTCGTGTTGCTGTGCTGAGCCAGAGGCCACGGTACTACCGCGCCCGACGAGCGGTACTACCGCAAGAGCATGCGGTAGTACCGCGCCCCTGGTCGGTACTACCGTGGGCCTCTGCGGTACTACTGCTCCCTTGAGCAGTACTACCGCATGCCACAGCACAGCCACACTAGGAGTCCTTCATTTTGCCGAGACACGGAGAAACGGAGGTTGCTCTAAAGAGGCAAAGGAAAGGTGATGCAAAGTAATGGACATGTACGTGATGATTTCACCCAAACCTTTTCAAAACGGATCCCCTTTTAACAGTACGGTTTTCCTACGACTCAAATGCACCGAAAAGAAACGTAGAGAAAACTCCATCTTCAATAGACTCCGAGGGACAACAAATCGTCTTGTGCCTAAACATGAGATATCTGAAATGCTCAACGCACACGATTAGTCTGCAAAAACATTACCATCAATTATTAAAACCACATAGGGAGAAATATGCCCTTACAATTGCCATAGCAAATGTTCGATTTGCCGTGCCTAAAAAACCGACGTCTAATTTTAGCATTTTCGGAAAAAACATTCCTGTATGAAAAAAGAGAATGTCCACATGAAAAAAAGGACATTTTTCTTTTCAAAATGCAGACATTTTTTTTCAGGTAACAACCAGCATCCCAATCAATCTCCCACCGTCAATTTCGCCAGTCCAGTCGGAATCCTCCTCACTCGCCATTCGCCACCTCCACCTCTCTTCTCCTCCCACGCCGCCGACCGCGGGTCCGGCTCGTCGGGCCCCCGAAATCCGGCCAGATCCGCCTCAGCGGACGCCGGCAGGCCAGCCGGTCCGCCTCGCCGACGCCGGGACACCAGCCCTAGTCTTCATCCGTCGGCGCTCGCGGTAGGGTCCTCATATCCAGCCTCCAGCGACGCCGGTGAGCCGCCCTTCGCCTCCTCTGCCCTCGCGCCTTTCCCGGCGCCTGCCGAATCGTGCTCACGCGCGTTCGTCTTCACCCAGACCTTCGCCATGGAGAACGCCTGCATAAACTTCACCGCCGTCGCGCGCTCGGCGCGGATGCTCAAGATCGACGGCTTCAGCCTGACCGAGAGCATGGACCACGACGACTGCGTCAGATCCAGGTGGACCTTCGACGGGTACGAGTGGGAGGTCCGCGTCTACCCCGCGATGACCAGCTCTGCCGGCGGCGGCGGCGGCGCGTACGTGGTGCTGGAGGTCGCCTTCCTCAGCAAGCCCCGCAGGGGCAGCGTGAGGGCCGCCATAGGCTGCCGGCTGGTCGACCCGAGAGGGATACTCAAACCGTCCAATGAAATCAGTATCTCAAAGGTGTTCAGTCGCCCGCAGGAATGCTCGACCAAGGCGGCGGTCGTCGGGCGGCGCGCGCTGGCGGCATCGGCGTTTCTCCGGGGCGATTCCTTCACTATGGAATGCACCATTGAGGTTCTCAAGGAGCTGCCTGACACGGTGACGGACCCTGTCCAAGAGGTGCCGGTGCCATCCTCAAACTTGAGTCGACACCTGGCTCTACTCCTGCAGAGCGAGGCCGGAGCGGATGTCACGTTCCTCGTGTCTGGCGAGTCCTTTGCTGCGCATAAGAGCATACTGGCCGCGAGGTCTCCGGTTTTCATGGCCCAGTTCTTTGGAGACATGAAGGAGAAATGCTCGCAGAGTGTGGTGATCGAGGACATGGAGGCTGCGGTGTTCAAGGCCCTGCTTCACTATATCTACACTGATACTGTGTCTGAATTCGACGAGAAGGGTGAGGAGGTGACAATGTTAGCTCAGCACTTGCTTGCAGCTGCTGACAGATACGGGCTGGACAGGCTCAAGCTGATCTGCGAAGGCAAGCTCTCTGATGGCATCAATGTTGACACTGCAGCGACGTCTCTGGCTCTAGCCGAGCAGCACAACTGTCCACGGCTCAAGGCGAAGTGCGTTCAGTTCATCATTAGAAATCGTGAAGTTCTTGATGCTGTGTTGGCGACGGAGGGGTACAAGTACCTGGCGGCAAGCTGCCCTTCAGTGTTGGCTGACCTTCTCAAGTCAAGCCTGCGCGTGGGATGAAGAGCTGATGCATAGTTGGGTGCTACCAGAGGTCCAAATTTCAGTGATGCATAATCTCTGTTTGTGCTTGTCTAGTTACCTTGCGTCGCTTCTTAATGTTGAATCTAAATCAGGTAGGTTAGTCTCTGCTTGTGCCTATTATGCATGAATGTATTATAGTAACTTGTTTATGTGCAACCTGTTGTGATGTAATTTAGTTTAAATGGTCCACGATTTGGTATCTATCTCCTTGTATGGTTATCACTGCCACCAGGTGATACATGAGTAGTCTCTGTATGTGTTCTTTTATGCAAGTAGTAGTAACTTGTGTTTCCATGACTCATGTAATGCGCAATCTACTGCTTTCAGTAACCCCTTCATTGTGATTTAATTTAGTGCTCCAACACGGGCGCTAAATTTCTATTCCATGTACAATGGTAATTAAAGTGTTAACGAATAATTCACACTGAGTACTAATGGAATACATTTTAGTTCCTGTGGAACAATTCACTGTTACTGAAGTAGGATGTTTAAAATTCCTTATAAGTAGTACTCCCTCCGTCCGAAAATACTTGTCATCAAAGTGGATAAAAAGAGATGTATCTAGAACTAAAATACATCTAGATACATATCCTTTTATCCATTTTGATGACAAGTATTTCCGGACGGAGGGAGTACTAGTAAATTAGAATTATTCACAGCTGGTTCTAAACCATTTTTTTTTTAGTGTTGCAGCCTCTCATGGTTACTGATGCCTGAGATTTCAGTAACTTGTGTTCCCCCGACTTGTATACGTGCAACCTACTGCTTTTGGTGTGATGTAATTTATTCTAGATGGCCCATGATTTGGTATCCATCTCCTTTTATGCTTATCACTGCCACCAGGTGATATACGTGAGCAGTGTGCAGGATGCAGGGCTTTGGCAAGAACCTTCTGTTCAGTGATACTACAGAGTCAAGGATGATTCAGAGTTCGCTGGTATGATTTTCTCGCTTGCAGCCACATCGAACCAGATATTTTTACAAACTAGTACTCCCTCTGCAAACTAATATAAGATCTTTTAGATCACTATTTTAGTGATCTAAAATAGTGATCTAAAAGATCTTATAAAATAGTGATCTAAAAGATCTTATATTAGTTTGCAGAGGGAGTATTTGTTATCTTTCTCTTCGTACGCTTATCGGTGGCACGCCGTGATACATGACCAATGTGCAAGGCCTGGTTATATACATCTGTTTCAGTGCTTTTAAGAGTTGAGGATGATTCGGAGTGCGCCGGACCATCGGTATAGTTTTCTCACCTACGGCCACAGAATCCTAGTGCATCTTTCAGCCTCCATACAGGGAGTTTTGTGAGTCCCTTGTCATAAAATTTGGGAATGACATCTGGAAAAACCTTCACTTGATAGTGCTAGTTGTAAACGAAGATGATTTATATGTTATAACATGTGCTTGTCATGTCTAGTTAACTCGTGTCCCATCTTTCCAACACAATGAAGCTTAGATGGGTTGGTACCTGTTCGTGCTTGTTATGCGCAGCTTATTGCTTTCACCTTTCAGTAACCTATTCATAGTGATGTACTCCCTCCGTTCCATATTAAGTGTCTGTTGATTTAGTACAAAGTTGTAGTAAATCAGCAAAACTCTTGTTCCATTAAGTGTCGCTGATTTAGTACAAAGTTGTAGTAAATCAGCAACATTTAATATGGAACAGAGGGAGTAATTTATTTGGTTATCTACCTCCTTCTGTGCTTATCAGTGGCACTATGATCATCTCCAGCAGTCCTCTTTCTAAAAAAACAGCTCATATTAGGGTAGTTGGACAAAAAAGTGCTCAGACAGCTCTACTTTCTTGTAAGTCAGAATTCCCTATATGGCACATTCTGCATCAGGTTGTCAACCTTTCGCACTTGAAGTTGGTGAGCGAGCGACGCACACGGGACGGCCCACCTTGAGTGCGAGCCAACCGGTTTTGGGAGGAATTTTATAAATTGTTCAAAATTTGGTCAGTTTTTTAAAAGTTTGTTTGAACATTTTCAAAAAATGTTTCTGATTTCAAAATTTGTTCAGAATTTCTGAAATGTTTATATTTAAAAAATGGTCGCAAATTTGTGGGAAAAATTGTGTTTTGAAAATGTGTTCAGAATTTCAAAAAATGTTCCCAGTTTTAAAAGAATCACAGATCCAAAAAATGTTCGTGGTTTCAAATTTTGGTCGGAGTTTCAAAAAATGTTTGTATTTTTAAGAGGAGTTTTAAATGTCAAAAGATGTGCAAGATTCAAAAAAAATATTTGAGATTTTTCAAAAAAAGTTTGCGTTCTAAAAAATGTTTGAGTTTTGGAAGAAATATTCACAATTTTGCAAACGTTCAGATTTCAAAAATATTCACTTTAAAAAATATATATTCTGTTTCGAAGTTTCAAAATGTGTCTCAGATATGTCGCTATTGATAGTTCTTAATGTTCGGCGCTGCCTATTAGCCACCAAACCTCATCAGCTCAAGTGGTTGGCCGCGTGCACTCATAAGCGCATCTATGTTTTTTTTGGCCTTCTGAATTTATAAATCAACCGTATCTGGCTTGAGTTTTAATCACCGTGTGGTCTATCTAGTGGGCGAGGAGACGGGCAATACACGGCGACGAATTTCAGAGTCCTCTTACAACTATGTGCTTTATCAAACAGATATATCTTGAAAACTTGAAAAATAGTTGTTTCTCGGAATCATGGTTCCATTTAGCTCTTCGGCTACGCCTTGTCAGAGGGTCCGTACATGGATTACACCCGAGGGAGAAGCTGCAAAAATAAACGTCGACGATGGACTATCTCGCCATGGCAATATGGGTGCAG